ATGTGGGACTCGATCCCGGGACTCCAGGATCATGACCTGAGCCGAAGGCAGTCGCTTAACCAACTGAGCCACCCAGGCGCCCCGGAGTTTTAGATTTTTATGACGTTAAGTTTATCAAGTTTTTTTTTACATGTCTTCTGGGTTTTGGGTCATAATTAGGAAGGTCTTTCATATCTGAAGTTAAAAAGAATTCTCCCATACTTTATTTTAGCACTTTTGTGGTTTCATTTTTTCAAAGAAAATTAAATCTTGTCTCTCTTTGGAATTTATATTCCTATAAATGTGTGAGAGTATGGATCCAACTTTATATTCTTCCTTGTGGTTACCTAGTTGTACCCAAACCATTTATTTATTATGTATCTCTTCTCCACTGATTTAAAATGCCACTTTTTTTGCATATAAAATTCCTGTATGTATTTGGGTCTATTTCTAGATGTTGGTTCTATTTCACTGGTTTCTCTGTTCATGCGTTAATGTGTTCGTTGTTTTGATTAAGAGTATATTTTAAAATCTGGTAGAATTTTGATTTTTTTGTTTTATGTATGAATATTAGAATAAGGTTGTCAAGTTAAAAAGAAGTTCTCTTGATTTTCTTTTTATCGGGATCCCATTCAATGAATAGATTAACTTCAGGAAAAAGTGATATCTTTATGGCATTGAGTCTTTCTGGCCAAGAATCTGATAAGCTTTTTTTTTTTCTTTTCTGTTTAATTGACTTTTTTGGTGATCCTCAGGAGCATTTCCTGCATGTAGATCTTGCCCATTTTTTGCAGAGTTTGTTCTTAGGTGTTTTGTGTTTTTGTTTCTATTGTAAGGAAAGGATATTTCTTTTCTTTATATTTCCTAGCTGGTTGTCATTTGTATATATGAGACTTGTTAACACAATGTTAATTATGTGCACACCTAGCTATCCTGCAGAATTTTGTCTTTTTTAAATTTTTATTTATTTATTGTTTTGTTTTTTTTAATTTTGTCTTTTTTTTAAAGTTCAGGTAAAATTCATATAACATAAAATTAACCATTTTAAAGTTTTTTTTTTTTTTTTTAAGTAGGCTAAGTAGGCTCTATACCTAGCATGGAGCCCAATGCAGGGCTTGATCTCAGGATCCTGAGATCAAGCCCTGAGCTGAGATCAAGAGTTGGACCCTTAACCAGTTGAGCCACCCAGGCGCCCCCAAATTAACCATTTTGAATTGTACAATTTAGTGCCACTGATACACCCACAAAGCTGTGCAGCACCTTCCTCCATCCAGTTCCAAAACATTTTCCTCACCCCAAAAGGAAACCACGTGCCCATGAGGCAGTCATTCCCCATTCCTTTTCTCCCTCGGCCACCACCAATCTGCTTTATGTCTGTATGGATTTACTGGTTCTGGACTTTTTATGTAAGTGGGGTCATACTGTATGTGGGCTTTTGTGACCGGCTTTTGTCACGTAGCATCATGTTTTCAAGGTTTGCCCGTGTTGTGGCAGGTGTCCATACTTCATGCCTAAGACTGAATAATACTCCATCGTGTGGATGGAGCCCATTCACTTACCCCTTCATCTGTTGCTAGGCTTTTGGGTTATTTCCACTTTAGGGCCTTGTGAATAGTGCTGCTGTGAACATTTGTGTATAGTATTTGAGTCCCCGTCTTCAGTCTTTTGGATACGTACCCAGGAGTAGAATTGCTTGGTCATACTTCTTGAGGAATGGCCACACTCTTTCCATAGCAGCTGCGCCCTCTGGCCATGCTCTCAGCAGTGCATTCGGGGTTCACTTTCTCCACACTCTTACCAACACTTGTTATCTTTCCTTCTTTCTCTTTTAAATTATGGCCATCTTACTAGGTAGGAAATGCTGTCTCATGGTTTTGATTTTCATTTCTGTAGTGATTAATGATGTTGAGCATCTTTTCATGTGTTTGTTGGCCATTTGTATGTCTTTGGAGAAATGTCTGCTCAAGTCCTTTGCCCATGTTTTAACTGTGGTATTTATGCTTTTCTTGTTGAATTATAAGAGGTCTTTATATATTTTGGGTACTAGATTCTTGTAAGTATATGATTTGCCAGAATTCTTTTTGTCTGTGGCAGTTTTTTGGTTCTCTTTTTTTTTTTAGGTATAGAATTATATCATCTGCAAATAGTGGTAATCTTTCTTCTTCCTTTTCAATTTCATACTTCTATTTTTTTTGGGGGGGGAGGGCTAATTGCATCGGCCATTACCTCCAAAACATTGTTAAGTAATAATGGTAGTGAACATGTTTATTGAGCTCCTTTAATGGAAATGAAGCATCATTGTATGGATTTACCATGGTTATTCAACCATACATACACTGTGAAACCTTCAGGTTTCCAGTTACTCACCACTATCAGTAGTGTTGTGGTGAGCACTTTTACATAAATCCTTTCTATAGTTGACATTATTTGACATTTATTTCCTTTGGATACATTTTAAAGACTTGATACACGTTGCCAGGTTGTTCGGGTATAATTTCATAATAGATCCCTTTTTATTGTAAGGAATGGACTGTACACTGCTGGATTCCACTTATGCTTTTACATGCAAACAAGTAGGAATTTGTCCTTGCCTATTTCCCATCTCCCTGTGTTAGTAGGAAGTGAAGAGAGAAGGTGATTGAGCAGCCATAAAGGGATGATTTTAGCTATTCTGAAATAAGTTTAGGTCTGAAAGTCCTCATGGATACCAAGTGAACTGCTCTTTGTGTTTTTAGGATTTGGATTGCCAGGTTTCCTTGCATGTGGTGGTATGCACGTGGTTGGGTGAGGTCAGATGAGGTTAGATGAGTCACGCTCATCTGTGACTGTCCAGCTGGGACAGGAACTTCAGCACACCAAAGCTTGCTGATGATCAGACAGGGCCTAGGGACCCAGATAAGGGATATATATATGAATGTTTCTTCAAGACAGCTTGTCCTGCTGTGGAAGCTCATCAGGGAAGCTTCTGTGACTAAGCTCCCAGCTCCAGAAATCAACTGAGACAAATATGTGCTGTCCAAGACAGAAGCGTTCATTGCCAGAATGTTGGTATCTGGGAACTATGCAGGAGCTCTCATGCCATTCTTACTGAACAGTTTATCCTATATCTTGGGCCTTTCTATTTAGGACTTCTGTTGTGGTTCTGGAATCTCCGTGTCTTTGATGAAATTTAGCCTAGTCAGTGCTATTCCCTTAAGATTGCTCCTGGAATCTTTCCCCCATATATATATGAGTGATTTTGAGATTAGAATGTCTTCCTGTGTTGAAGATTCTGAACCTAATTTGTGTGTTCCATGATTATTACTCTTTATATTTCCTTTAGTTTCAGATGCTTCATCAAGATGAATCAAATAAAAGGGAAAAGATCAAGACAAAGAGCGTTGACTTTGAGGATGACCTGAGAGATGAAGTAGAAGATGCTGTCCAGAAAGTTTGCAATGCAACTGGATGTTCAGTGAGTATTTCTGTCCTGTGGTAATAACGGTGCATGAGCAAGCATTGCAGGGCCGAGTTTACCTGCCAGTTTCGTAGGCCCAGTCTAGGATGCCCACACCTGATGGGCCAAACAAGGTTCGTGATGTTTGTGGTTCATTAGATCGAGTGAGAAGACCTAATGAGAGTTATTTATTCATTTTTCTCTTGTTTGCTAGACTACCCAGTACTGCTCAAAATCCTAAGGAAGTGTGTGGGGTTTTTTGTTTTTGTTTTTCTGACTAGCATTTACACTAGTAAAAGTGCAGTTGTATAAAGGAATTCATTTATATTAAATGGCTATTTCAGGTAACCAGCCTTATTGAAAATTAAGACATTTTCTAAATGGAAAAGATCTTGAAACCATGCCCTAATTCTCACCATTACCGCTTCTTGTGTATCAGGTTGTTGACATAGAGGTAGGTAGAAGAGTATACCCAGTCTTGAAGTGTTCCTTTGTTTCTTGGATAGGATTTTAATTTGATAGTCCAGAACCTGGAAGCTGAAAATTATAATATTGAATCTGCAATAATTGCCATGCTTCAGATGAACCAGGGGAAAAGAAATAGTAAGTCCATGATTGATATTTATATGCTTTCAGAATGGTTGTATTGGTGATTTTCCAAATGTTTATTTTTCATCAAGGCACAGGTGGTGATTATACTGTCATCTATCACTTTCTGCATGCGGGCGTGTTTTACAAGGCCCTAGCCCTGCCTTGGGGAGAAAGATAATCTGGAGTCGAGGGGGGCAGAGGGGAGACAGATGAGGAAACTGGTATAATTATATGTGCTAGTGTCGGGGAGTACAAGGCACTGGGGGGACACAGGGAAAGGCCAACCTAAGCTGGTCTTGGAGGGATGGAGAGTGTCAGGGAAGACTTTATTCTTCTCGAAAGAAGAATCCCTTATAAAACCAAAATGTTAACTGAAGTAGAATAGAGAGAGAAATAACTGAGTTTTCTAATGGATATACGTAGATGGCTAGCATCCATCAACTGGTGATAAATTAGAATTTTTTTTACTTGACCTGGGTTTAATTCTGTGACTCAGAAGATGGAAAACAAGATATATAGAGTCTTACTGTTTTCACAAGTTACTTTTATTTAAAATGATTTCAATACATATTGACAGATATGTGCCAGATACCGTTTCCAGCATTCCAGTTTTCCATGTGTTTGGGTATTTTCTTATCTTCTTTATCTATTTGCTGTACTTTCTCAGAAAGCTGTGAGTAACTTGGTCTTTGTGACGTTGAAACAGCACCGTCCAGGGTCCGTGCCATCCAGTATAGTGTATACTTGACGCGCGTGGCTAAGTGAGAGTAAGGAACTGAAGTTTAACTTTTATTTGACTTTAGTTATTTTTAATTTAAATGGCTACATGTGGCCCGTGGCTGCTGTATTGGGCAGTTCAGGTTTGGGGCCTGTTTCCTTTCTGGGTTTTGGGTGCAAATGAAAGATTTCCTCCTAAAAATACGTGTTAAAAAGTGGCTTAGTAAAACACTCTGCAGGTGGGAAGCCGATGATTAGGCTGATCAGCAGGTTATGTTTAAATTTATTTTCCAGGTATTACCAGTTATTTCCCCCCTTGTGTGCCCCACTGTATTGACTTGATACTAGAATTTTGCTTCAAGGAAACTTGCTCTCCATATGACAGGTGATTTTGGAGTTATGCATTGTTAGGTTGCGTAACTGTCTTAGGTTCTCAATTTTAATAAAATCCTTTCTTTGGAAGATGCAGAGGAGAACCTTGAGTCCAGCGGCCGAAGTCTGACGCAGTGTGGCCCTGTATGGGAGGAGGACGGCAGTGGCACCAGACTCTTTGGAAATCAGGGCTTAAATGAAGGCAGAACTGAAAACAATAAAGAGCGGGTCAGCCCTAGTGAAGAAAATAAAGCAAATAAAAACCAGCTCCTAAAGGTATGAAAGATGGGCTCGCAAGGGCAAGTGGTGGGCGGCTGTGCTTCAGTGGCAGGGGTGGGAACTTGGAGCTCATTTTAGAGCGTCATTGTTTTCTGATGTTTTTAAAGTAGTTATTGTAGAAAATACAGGGAGTGCATAAGGGGATATCAAGAAGTAGAATGAGAACCTTGCTTGTCCAATTTTCTATGTGTCAGTGTACACACAGACAGCCTCCCTTTCCTGCCCAGTGTTACTGTGTATCCAGGTGTTTCCATGTTGTTACTATTTTTTTAAATATTTATTTATTTATTTGACAGAGAGAGACAGGGAGAGAAGGAACACAAGCAGGGGGAGTGGGAGAGGGAGAAGCAGGCTTCCCGCCGAGCAGGGAGCCTGATGCGGGGCTCGATCGCAGGACCCCGAGATCATGACCTGAGCCGAAGGCAGATGCTTAACGACTGAGCCACCCAGGCGCCCCTTGGTGTTTCCATGTTAATCCGTGTTATAAAGTCCCCATAAATGCCATCATCTTCGTTGAAAAACTTTGTGTATAAATCTTTGTGTTTTGCATTATTATTATTATTATTATTATTTTTTGTGGCTAGAGTCACAGTAAAGGGTATGGATATTTGAATCTTTTTAAGGCTTTTTGGTAAATTGTCAAATGCTTCCCGGAGGGGTTGCCTGTCTCCCTCCCTGCCCCTGACTCCTGCAAGTAGTATATGACACCATTCTTTTTACTGAATTTGGAATTCATTTTAAAGATGTGCACCAAGCAGTTCTGAGCCCCAAATGCAGCATAATGTAAAAAGCCACAGGCCAAGGTAAAGATGCAGTAAGCTTCTGAGGATTTTGTTAGGATTACCTGGGGCATTAAATTATGTAGAGACAGGTGTCCTATGGCATGTTTGAGCGTTATCTCTTGCAGGACTGGGGTTAATGTTTCTTAGGTCATTGTGTATTGGATTATGAGGAGAGTGGAATTGATTTCGTTTGCTAGCTCAGCAGAGGGGATAGAAATTTAAATGTAAATTTAAGTTGTGATGGGAAAGACATCACTTCTGGTCTGTTAGGTGGGTTTTCTCTGTTCTTGCTGAGAAGCAGTCTGTGCCCCCGGATCCGTTGGCCCCGAGTCCCCCTTCGGCAGGCGGCCCCTGAGTCTGCCGCGTGGGCAGCTCACCCAGCGGCCTTCTCTTTCAGGTCACCAACAAACAGAGGCGGGAGCAGCAGCGACTGGAGAAGAAGAAGCGACAGGAGGAGAGGCACCGTCACAAAGCCCTGGAGAGCAGGAGTGGCCATAGGGACAGCAACCGAGGTGAAGCAGATGCGAACGCGCAGGTCACCTTGGTGAAGACCTTTGCTGCTCTCAACATCTGACTCTCTGGCCTTCTGGGAGCTGTGAGAAGTCAATGGAAAATGGAGCGCTGTGTAGCAGGCTCTCCAGTGAGGCTGTCCTCTCACAAAATGACACCCAACCCACAAAACTCACACACTGAGTTCGTCTCCTTCAAGTTGCCTCTGTTTTGCTCAAACTTTTGTTAGTGATGTGTTTTATTTTATGAAATTTCGGTGAAGCCATTCATGTTCTGTAATTAAAATATCGAGTTCTAGGGTTGGATAGTTAGTTCAGGCAAAACCTTTTAAGTGTGGTTTTATTTGCCTTGAAAAATCAGAGTTCAGTGACCCTGGGATTTTTTCTGAACATTTGGGGTGAGTTTTACCATAATTGTTCATGAAGTAGTTTAGATTAGTTGCTAGAAATTCAGAATGACAAGTTTCCTTTGTTTCTCTTTCATTTTCAAGCAGATATTCACATACAGGATAGTTTATAAACAGTCTTCAACTCAGGAACATGTTTAGATTTAATTTTCTACTAATCCAAGTTAATCAGAAATTAATTCAGGAAGTATTTTTCCCAAAGTAATAGCATATGAGGGTTGTGGCCTTTTGTCAGGGTGGAAATTCAACAGCTACGTTTTTCTCCTTCCTGATTCTGATGCTATTTCAGATGGGATGCAGGTGCTGAGAGTTTGCTTGCGCTCAAGTCATATGATAAATACACCTGACTGTTAATTAGGCCTGGACTTTGCTGGAAAAGTGGTAGTGTTGTTGAGGTTTTGGTACTTGTTTCTTAACACAGAGAAGGTGGCATGTTACCGCTTATGTTGTAATTCTGGGCTTCTGATCGTATGGCGAGCAGAACCCATAGTTATAAAGGGAGAAATGAAGAGATTCCTGAGTCTTTGTCTAGGGAGAGTCTAAAAGAGTTACTTGATTTTGTAGGGGCCTGGAAGGGTCTGGAAGAATAAGGCTTTTCAGGTTCACATTTTAAGTAATTAACTGTATTTTTTTCCTTGCTGTTCTAGACTAAGATGCCTTCAGAGAAGTAGTTTGACCTGTTGCTCAGTTTTCTTAGTGTCGTAAAAATGGAATCCCATAAAATGCTGCATTTCTTTCTTTCTGTTCCAGCCCTTTCTGGGATCTTGATGTTGGAAAAATTCTTCCACACTCTAGCACTTGTCAGTGACTTAGGTTAGACCAACAGGGCAAAAGCCATGGAATGACTCCACAGTTCTGACATGGATTTGGGAGGTGGAGAGAGGTCATTCCTAAGACTGGTAGGTGGGTGTGAACTTTCAGCCTGGAACCATGTATGAAGTGGACAGTCGTGGACAGCCTTGGCCTTCTGGGGACCCAGTATTTGGACAAATAAATTCTGCTGAATGAAAAGGTAAATTAGTTACTTCTCCACCTCAGACTTCAAAATTATAACCGTTCCAAGGAGAAGGGAAAACCATAAAAATGTTTTGACTGAATGGATGTACCATTGTCTGGGCTGGCCCTGGATTCATTGAATTGCTTTTATCGGCAGACGATTTGCTTTCTTCAGTTTTAATGATGTGTTTTAATTTTTTGTTCGTTGACTTCAGTGACTTTTTATAGTTGAAGCATCTGTAGTTTCTTGGAACTGCTCTCAGGCTATTGTGGTTTAGGCTTCTTCCTGGTGCGGTGCTTTGTAATAGTAGCAGATTTGGGAAGTGCGGAGCATGTTTTCTTTGCACATTGTGGAGTCCTGAGTCTGAGGCTCTAGTACTCAGTCCCTACAGGTGCAGGGTCTCTGTTGCCTTAGTTTCCAAGGGAGTGAGATCCAGTGCTTAAGGATCAGTCATTCTCTTGGCTTTTGACTCTGGACACTTTCCTGACTGTGGCTGATCTTTTCTGAGTGAACACTCTTTCTTGTCTGTCTGGTAGGGCGAGAGGGCCAGAGACCAGATCCTCTCAAGAAGGTCAAGATTGTGTATCAGAAACTCAGCAGAAATAGGAGTCTGAAATAGCATAAGGGATACCCCTTGTCAGGAGCAATAGAATTGCTTTATTTACCTGGTTAATGAAGGTGGCCTTGGGCCCTGTTGGGGTTTTAGAAGTTTAACTAGAAGCTGCTAAAAAGTTATTAAAGAATATTGGGCACACTTGTTAACAAATTACCAAATTCTGATTTGGTAATTGAAGTAGACCTCAGCATTTCTGGGGTAAAATAACAGTGGTTTTAAAAAGTAATCCAGCTTCGGTAATTTTCTCTTATTACCATTTCATAGTTTTCCAGTTAAAATTGGTCTGCATTTAATACATTAATTATTAGGAATGGGATAGATGTACCCAACTTTAGTGATCTCTTCTTGCTAAGCGTGTGAATTTAGACTTCACTGCCTCAGTCTCACTGAAGTATGAGGTAGATGGGATCCATATACTTGGTTGCCTTGTGGGCATTTGAAAATTACTTTATTGGCAGCCAGCATGGAGGTCCAGTGAGTTTGGCTCTGGGATGACTGTTGTCAGTGACTCTTGTCCCCGGTATAGTGACTCACGTGCACTCCATGTTGGGAGGTGCGTCTTGCTTAGCCTCTGTGCTGTGTCTTGGCCGTTAGAGGTTTATGTCATGTGGGATTGTCTCGGTAGCTTGTAGTGAGGTCAGGAGAAAGGGGATGGGGCAGTGGTCTGTAGCTGCTTATTAGTCTTATGAACTGTATATAAGGTTTTATGGATTTTAAAACAAGATTTTTTAAAGGTCAAAATAAATAAAATTTTAGTGGCCACCGCTTTGTACTAGAGAGGTAGCTGTATTGAAACAACCTAGAACCACACCTTCTAAATAACATAGTTGCCATCGGGAGATATTAGGGAGATAGAATGCATATGTATATTTAATTTTTCAGTAGTGTGCACATATGCTTTCTGGAGCAGAGCCTGGTTGAGGGATGGTGGCAGAAAGAAAGATCTTGAATATCAGCTGAGGTTGCTGTCTGTAGTTTCTTTTATAAGCTCTGAAAACACTTCCAAACCCATCTTGATCCCCAGGGCTTGTGAAGTGGGGTCTCCCTTGTGGGGTGGCTTGAGTGGGCGTCACAGGAACCTTCGAGGAGGTCATCGGTAGTGCCCTGCCTCGTCTCCCTGGGGTTTACAATGTGAAATGACGCGGCCCTGGGGGAGGAGGGCCGTGTGACCTCGGGGAGAGCTGCTCACGTGTTAGGTAGGTAGGCATCCGATGGACTTCGGCACTGAACTGTCCTCGTGGTGAGTCCCTGTCGTCAATGTGCAATTTCTCTCATTCTGAGAAACTTTAGACTCTGCCTGGGTTTTACTGGGTCAACATAGAATGCTGTCAGTTTACCTCTGTGAAATGGTCGAATGTGCAGTCGGTTACTGGAAACTGGGATTTCTAGTCCACGCTGACTGACGGTCTCCCTGAGTAAAGGGATTAAAATGGAGCACTTGGTCTCCGTGGGTCACATCTGGGGCCCTCTCTGACTCCCATTTCAGGCAGACACGTGGATCTTCACCTTTTTACCTTTTTACCTCAAGGCTCTGTCTGTCTGTAGCAAACGTCTAGATTCGGAGTCTGCTGCTGTTTTTCCGTTTGGTCATTTTCAGTCTTCACGATTCGTTCACCTCCGCTTTCAGAACAGGCGTTGCTAAAACTCTGGGGCCTTCCGACAGTTGTTCTGAGGTGATTTAGTAATGGCACTTTTTTACAAGGTGTGTTTTCCTGACTCTAAAGCAGATTGTGTTTTTCCACTGACGTTGAAGCGAAGATCTTCTAGATGGCATGTTTAGGGAAATCTTCTGCCGGCACATATTAGAGGGGGAATGGGTAACTGGTGTGACGTGGAGATGGTGACCCCCCAGTCCCAAAGTGCTTGCATGGCATGGGGCCCGCCTGCACCCCGGGGCCCGGTCCCCCAGGGAGAAGCTGGGCCTGCAGGCGGCCTCACCCTGCTCGGGCCCCAGGTGACGCTCCCGGTGACCTCAGGCTCTTAAGATTTTTTTTTTTTAATTTATTTATTCATGAGAGACAGAGAGGGGGGGGCGGGCAGAGGGAGAAGCAAGGCTCCCAAGGAGCAGGGAGCCCGACGCGGGACCCGATCCCAGGACCCCGGGACCATGACCTGAGCCGAAGGCAGACGCCCAACCATCTGAGCCACCCAGGCGCCCGGTGACCTCAGGCTCTTAGCCATGTCTTCTAAGCTTACTGATCTCTCTCTCCTAGTTAGGGGGTGCTTTGTAGCTCGGTTAAAATGGTTAGCATCCTTGCGAAGTTACTGGAGAAGGGGCTGCGGTCATGACGAATGTTTCTGTAGAGCTCGAACTTCTGCGCGGTGGCTCTGTTTCCAGCAGGGCAGCCCCGTGCTCCAGAAGGGCTGCTGCTTCCTGCGCCGGTCGTCAGGCGGGCGACAATCCCCAAGCGTCTGAGGGCTGCCCCCGCCTCTGTGCATGTCAGCAGCCAGCAGGTCACCGTGCCAGCCGTCGGGGACAATCACTGGAGCTCAGTCAGAAACCGCAGCCTGTGGTTTGGGGCCCCTGGCAGGTCCCTGGACCAAAACTTGAAGAACTGGTGTGGGGGTGCCCATGTCTTCCCACCCTCATTGTTCATTTTCCATGGCGGGAAGGGCCCTCGGCCTCCCTGGCCACCCTTCCAGCAAGCTCCAGAGACACCGAGCTCAGTGAGAAGGAAGGAAGGAGCCGGGAGTTAGACTTGAGCCCTGCATGTTCTTGCTGACACAGATGTGCTGGTGGGCGTGAACCCCTTGGGGAGGAGGGCAGGTGTGTCTTTGGGGAGCACAGGCCTTCGCAGGCTCAGGAACCTTCTTTTTTCTAATTGCACTATACTTGTTCTAGCTTCAGTCTGGAGATATTTAAGACCTCCATGGGGTCATGATCCATAGACTTAGCAAGTCTTGCCTTATCTCTGGAGCTCGACGGGGAGAAATGTGACCATTGTCTGATGTCCATAGTTCATTTCCTCTCGGTGGTTTCTTTTCACAGATTGTGTTCATCTGAACCATTTTTATTTTTTATTTACCAAAGTACTGTACTTGGCTACTTGCAGTGTTTTCAAAACCAAATGTTTCTTTTTTGTGTGTGTTTTTAATCTTCCATACTTGGTGCAATAGAAGCTGCAAAGATGTGCCACTTTATCTATGAAATGGAGTTTTGTATACCAATAAATTCTAGTTTAAAGACAAAGAATGCTTCACGTTGTTTTTGCCACTGTGACCGCCATTCGAGTGCATGAGACCGAGAGAGCATGCCAGCAAGTGGCCTTTTTAGGGGTCTTTCCGTGGAAGGCAGGAGGCTACA